GTGCGTATAGCTTTAAGTGGTTTGACCCAGGACAAAATCTATGTGCAAAAATGTGTAAATTTTATCAATATATTTTTCAGTTTTGTCATCAATTTTCAGTCTTAAAATTATATTTTGGGTGATTTCCCTGCCTTACAATGTCAAAATGAGTCAATTTTGATCCAAACATTATGTGAAGGTTTAAGGAATGGTTTGACATAAAAATCTAATTTATACATTTTTCCGCTTACCCCAGATGTAATCAATCAGTCAAGATATGTTTGGTGTCCAAATGTTGCTTCTTTATTTTAGCACAGGATCTTTGAGGCTAACCTTGCTGACAAACACTAGAAAGTCAATAGTCACCCAAATCTACTCTGTAAACACCTCCCCAAAACTACACCCAAAACAACACCTGTGGCCAACAGTGCTCGCCTGCAATGTGAAGTTTTGTTTATTTTTATAGTTCACAGTCCTAATGTTCTAAAAAAACGTTGACAGGCCTGTGTGACCTTAATAAAGAGCTGAATGATGACTTCTAGTGTTTCTTAGCAACAATAGCCTTGCTACTCCATTGCTAACTTAAATAGGCAAAATTTAGACACCAAACCTGCCTTGGTCAACTACATCTAGTGTAAGTGGAAAATTGTGTAAATTAAATTTTTCTCCCAAGCATTTTTTTTAAATTGTAGCATTATTGTTCAATATACTTTTAAACTCAAAATTCATAAATAAAATGTTTTACTAGACCGTCTAGACCAGCTTTATCCAAATGTCTCAAATACCTACTTCAAACATCAACGTACTCCTACTCTGGAGATCTTGGTTCCAATTATTTAATGACTGTTTTAGAATAGTCACATAAGAATGTCCGCAAACTTTTATATTTATTCATTTCCCAGACAAAACATTTTACTAAAGTGTCTTCTTTCATTTAATTTGGCACTTTGACTAGCATGAAATGACTGAAAAAAGACTCCTGTACATCCCATTCTTATTTACTGACCCCTTTAACAATAGTTGCTTAAATATACTGATATCAGTAAATCTACAGTAAATATACCCCCATCATTCATAAATAAAATGTTTTACTAAAGCTTTTTCTCCCTCTCAGTTTGGCCACCCTTACCCTAATGACTCAAAGACCCCCCTGAAACATCTACAGTCCTACAATCAATGAGGTTATTTACTGAACACTGGCAATACTTCCAACAGAAGGAGGTCAAGTCTATGCGGATCCTTTGGCCTAATGCCCACCCAGAGCCACATCTACGAGGGAGTGGGAGGTGTAGCCGTGTGCTCATGGCTGTACAAACATGAAGGGTGTTTTGATGTTTTTATGCCCGTTGACATGGAAGGCCATCTCCTTGGGAGGTGAGGGGTCTCCTGCCCCTGAGTGACCTTTGACCTGAATGAGTCCTGCTGCACTGATACTGGCTTTCAGCCCTGAGGGGACAGGGGGGAAGGGACACAGTTAGGAGCCTCAATTGCAGGCATTGCATTACTCTGTGAGTGTGCTGAATCTATAAACTCAGAATTGAAATGAACCCCTCAAACTGACGGCTTATCATTCAGCCAATAATCTTAAAACTTATTGTTCAGTAACTGTTAGGAATTATGTGAGAACTACTATGAATCTAATACATACAGAATGTAGTTATGAGTGAGGAGTTGAATTGCAGGACCTCATATGAGCTCTTGCAGTTTAGACTGTATTAAAAAAATATTATAGGTAATCATGTCTGCCTCGATCTAACACGGTGATCATCTGTATTTGCTTTGTTTATTTTTTTAGCTTATTGACACGTATGTTCTTCAAAGGGTGTACAGTGTGATATTGTAGTGGTGACTAAAAGAGCTCTGTGTGAACTTGACTTACAGACAAAAGTAATAGGGAAAGTTGACTTTAGCTTTATTTGACCAAATATTGTCCGTTATCAGATTATTATTTAACCATATATTGTGGTTCAGTAAAGCATAACAGTATGACACCATGAACATGGTGTTTTGATTATGGCATAGCTTCTATGTACACTCAGAACAAGAAAAATATAGAAAAAAATCACACATATCTATATGATTTATACATAAAATCAGGCTGATGATGTCCACTTTTGAAATGAGGTTAATTCTGGATATCAATTAAAATAGAAGTTAGTAAATAACAATATATTATAATGTTATAATGCTCTGTTCACATTATGTTTTCACCATGTGATTGATCTCCACTTTTGAAATATGATGGATTTGGGATGTTTATGATGGATTTGGGATGTCACACTTGTCTGTGACGATTAACAGACAAGTTATTACATAGATATTGCACTATACTATTTAATAATATATTCATCTGTTTGATTTTTGTCATGGTATCTGCCTTGAGATTTGATATTTACTTTTTTACAATGCCATGAATTCTGGAAATTTGTGTTATTATTTCATTTCAAAACTTAATTCTTGATGTTCTACAGCTTTCAGAGTCATTTTAGAATATAAGAATTGTCAACATTTATTATTTAACTCCAGCCTGAATATGACATCTCAGTCCATAATCAAGCCACATTCTTTTATTTTAATAAGCTTCATTCAGAATGCTGGCTTTAGGTTTATGAGGGTCAGTGTTGACCATCGGTGCTGTGTGGTGGTCTCCTAATGAGCAGAGACTACTGAACTGGCAGTAATGTGATTGCAGGTGCAGTGGACTCGGCTTCTGCTGCCAACTGCTCATGGCGCTGTGCTCGAGAACAAAGACACACAGAGCTATTCATGAAGCGCAGAGCTGTATCAGCGCAGAGAAAATCATTATTTAAAAACGGAATAAAACCCACAACAACAGGTGGCGCGACTGCAGCGCTGCAGTGTCCTGCTTTCAGTTCTGCATGCTGTGTCGGTGGCGTTTTGCTGGCTGCAGGCTCAGGGTTCCTTCTCCTCTCCTCGAGCTGCCCTGGGCCGCTGCCCGAGGCTCTGAGCGCGTGCTGCTGGACCGAGTTGTCCCAGACACGTGCACTTACAAGAGCCCTGGCTGGAGCTCATAGAGGGCTTAACCCGGAGACCCTCACACGACAACACAGACCTCCTCATCCAGGGAGAAAACATATTCTAACCTGCTCTACAGCTACACCCAGAGATCACACCACAGAGAATACAACAGCATTATTATTATTAATATTATCATTACAATACTATTAGAAACTATTTTTTTGCGCTCAGTGAAACGCTTGGTAGACATTTTAAGCCGAGAAAGTTCTTCAACAAGTTCTTTGATCTCTCCGTGACGTTTGAAATAATGAGCTGCGCTCATCGTTTTGATTCTTGAATGAATTATTTTATTCTCATTACACTAATAAACACACGTGCTAGCTTTTTTAGATCTTAATCTCTATATACTATTGTAAATTAATATAATAATTAATAATATATTGACTATACAAATATACAGACGAATACAAAAGTTTAAGCACCCCTGGTCGACATGTTTTGTTGATTTTTTAAATTTTCTGTTTATTAATTTATCATATTGAAAACAATATATAAAAAGTGACCTATGCAAAAGTTATGGCTATATATGTGTATACGTGTGTCTGTGTGTGTGTGTGTGTGTGTGTGTGTGTATATATATATATATATATATATATATATATTTATATATAAAATTCCCTATACGTTACACTCATTAATAATAATAAATTATTAATAAATAGAAACCGTGCACTAAAATATGCTAAAAAATGTCTCCATAGAGGATGTGTTAACTTGTTTACTTACTTTTAATTAGAAAAATCAACACAACATGTTGATGAAACATTTGACAGGGGGTGTTCAAACTTTTGTATTTGATTGTATGTACCTATATATTATTTCATGATGTAATTATATTCTTTTCACATGTTTGTTTATTCAATTTATTCAATATTTGTTAATGTATTAATATGGTAGTGTAATAACTATTTGAATATTACATTAAATATTGAATACTTCATTAGGTACATTTTTGTTTGCTCTTCACATTTATTTTCATGTTCTTTTTTTATCATATACTTTTGCTGCTTATTACTGTTTGTTTATTTCTATTTATTCTTCTTTCTTCACTAAATAATCTAAAGTCTCTGACTCCTTCTCTCCTCTAATGCCTTTAAAATCTCTCCCTGCTCTTTCTCCAAACATAAACCGAGCTCGTTCTGTCTGATGGACGTAGGGACGCTTCTGCTCAAGCTTTTCCATTATTATTATTTGTTTGAATAATTATCTGAGGCCCATTATAAACCCATTCAGTCTGTGTCTCTCACCCCCCGCTATCTGTGCTGAAATGAGGTGCGGTCACTCTGTTTGATGGATGGGTGAGTGTAAGCCAGTTTAAATCCTCAGAGCTTCACCTGCTGCAGCCTCATTATCATCCTGCACGTCACAACACCACACGGACACGCGCTGCTTTTCTTTTTTTAAAAAACATTATATTTATTCATACAAAAGAGTTTGCAAAAAACTTATACTTTGAGGTAAATACATAATAGAATAAATCTCTTTATATACAATAAAAATACATTATCATATCAAAGCCACAAGTTGAATAAATAAAAGAAAAATCAATGCAGTAAGAGTAGTAACGGTTCCCTCGGATGCATGGGGGTCGTGGTGGGCCAGTTTTCGGGGTCCAGAAGGCCACACTGGTCATGCTCCTCTCGTAGCTCCTCGTTTGCTCCTCGCTCCCTCTTTTCTATTGTCACTGCGATGAAACGGCATTTTCACGCTCGCTGTTCTGCTCTGGCGCGCTGCTAATTGTAAATTGACTTTTCACCTCGTGCGCGGCTGAAGAGGGTCTGTCTCCTCTCGCGGGTGAGCAAGTGAGGGGTCGGCAAAAGCGTATCTCGCTGGAAAAAGGGCAAACAGAAACAAAACAAAAACAAAAAGTGCAAAAAAAGTTTCGTGTGGGAACGTAATAAACGCAGGAAAACAAGCAGAAGTCTCTCTCGCGTGAGCTGTAAGGCAAACAGTGAATCTCTGCGCTTCTGGGTCGCCGCGCGCTAGTAGGAGTCATAGGGGAGGAAGTTGGGGTGGTAGCTGTAAACCACGTCCGCCTGCACGAAGCCGTAGTCCTCCGGCGCCTCCGGGCTGCCGGGCTCCGAGGCGCTGTACGGCGGTGAAGACGCGGACGAGCACGCGCTGGACGCCCAGGAGCGCGCGTCGCTGCCCGGGCTGGGGGGTGAGGCGCCGCGCGCCCTGTCGTGGATGCGGATGGTCTCGGACAGCGCCCAGATGTAGTTGTGCGCGAATCGCAGCGTCTCGATCTTCGTGAGCTTGGTGTCGTCGGGCAGCGCGGGCAGCACGCTCCGCAGCGCGTCCAGCGCGCCGTTCAGGTTGTGCATGCGGTTGCGCTCGCGGTCGTTCGCCTTCAGGCGCCGGTTCTTCTTGGCCACGTGCACGGCGCCGTCGGGGCGCGCGCGAGGGCCGCGCCGCTGCTTCTTCTTCTGGGGCTGCTCGTGCTCCTGTTGTTGGGGCTGCTGCAGGAGCGCGTGCTCGTGTGCCGGGGAGGTGGCGCGCGAGTCCTCGTCGTCAGTGCCGGTGAATGAGTAGTCACAGCTCGAGCAGTCGACGTCAGAGAACACGTTGTCCATCGCGGTGCACATGGCTGCAGACCTGCGAGACAGAAAGAGGAAAAAACACGGTGAGCGACGGGAGAACGCTGTCCGTGGAGGAGGCACGCGCTCCGGGAGATGGTGTGCACGCGCTGCAGCAGAATGAGCGTAGCTACCTGGTGAGGGATGTGGACGCGCAGGGGAGGAATCAGAGAAGTTTCGCTTGGAGCCAAAGTCCCGCAGATACAGCTGGCTTTGCGTTTCAAACTCGTTGGCACGCGTCCGTCTCGCTCGCGTTCCTCAATCAGCTCGCGTGAGCCGGTGAGCTTGGCACACGACCGGCCTCACTTACCTTATATACCCCGATAAGACAATGCACGCGCCCCCCCGCGCGCCCCCCACTCCTGTGGCATTTTCGTGAAGGATGAATGAATGGGCTGCAGCAGGTCTGCCCCGTGCCGCGCGACTATCTCATTAGCATAATTTATGCCCGTTGTTTGCTCGCGCTCTGGAGCGTGCCTCTAATCACCGCCAGCCAATCGGAGCGCTCGAGCGTTTGCGGAGCCACGCGCACAGCGCAGAGGGCTTTGAGTTAAAAAAAAAAGCATAGAAAAAAAGAAAGAAAGAAAGAGAAAAAGAAAGAAAGAAAAAAAAAAACTCTGACGGAGAAAGAAAAGAAGAGCACAGCGCCCCGGGCCAGGCACACTCTGCCTCAGTCTCTCTCTTTCTCTGTCTCTGTATCTGCACCTCTATCCTTTTCTTTTCTTTAGCCTGGACGCAGCAAAGTCTCAAAGTCTCAGCACCACCGCAGCTGCTCATTATTAATTGACTATTAATAGTTCAGAAAGTTTGGATCATGTTAGTGTTATATATGCATACATACATACATATATATAGTATGGTGATATATATATATATTTATATAGATATATTTGTATATGTATAATGTATATAATGCAGTAATACATATAATACAATGACTTACGTACTACATTGTGACTATTTTGTAAGGATGTGGTGTGTGTGTGTATATATATATATATGTATATAAATATATATATATATATATATATATATATTGCCCATATATATATATATATATATATATATATATATATATATATATATATATATATATATATATATATATTGACCCTTTTTTATTTATATTTCAACAGTCATTTTCATGACACTGGTGATCGGACTGTAAGACACTTTCACCACAGCAAACACCCTCGTGTTGTCCTATAGTAAACATGTAATTATATATATATAACCACATTTAAAGAGCCATATCCTTACAACACAGTCACAAAGTAATACATGGATCGTTAAATGTAAAATAATGCATTGCATATATTTATGAAACAAGTTCCTGTCCAGCTAAACCAGGTAACTGTTCAAATCTGCAAGACTACAAGACAGTAAGTTAGTTGTATATGTTATTACGCTAAGCTTACTTAAACAAAAACAAACAGAAATAAAACAAAAACAAACAAACATTCACAACAACAGAACTTGTTTGGCACTATGCGGGCTTTTAGCATGTTGGTCAGTTTGTGATGAAAAAGCATGATGTGCAAAACATTTTGACACTTTTTTATTACAGAGAAGTTAAAAAAAAAAACAATTTCGATGACATCTGTGATGATTTTGACTGTAGGACACTTTTACATCAGCAAACACCCACGTGTTGATACAGCGTTGGTGTCCAGTTTCTGGACAGAAATTAAGACTGTAAGAACGGCAGAGTTTATCTCCTTAACGCTGATCTGCTCCGTAGTTTGTATCCGTGGTGGAGAAGAAGACACGGCTTCACTTCATAACCACTTCATGCTAAACTCGCCCAACTGTTGCTCCGAGCTCATTTCTCATCTCAGACTGGAGCAGATGAAGGACTCCGCTAAATCACGCTGCAGCGTCTCTTCAGGTTTATTTAAAGACATCTTTATGAGACAGCCGTACAATTGACCATTAATTATTCCATTTATTCCGCCGCCAGCATCTCGCAGCCCTTTGGAGAGCGGTGGAAGGGGGCAGTGGCGAGGGCCAGTTTGAGGAGAGACCTGCAGGGCCTTTCTCCTTGCGCCATTATGAGGATAGGGAGACAGTCATTTATAAATAATTACACAATGTTTAGAGTCTTCAGGCATGTATAATATATCAAAGCGATTAGAAGGTGAATTGTTCCATTGTGCTCTTCTCCCCTCTCTCCCTTTCAGCTCTCCATTGCCTTGTCCCCCGTCCAAATTCTGCGCCTCTGCGCCTTTTGTCACTCATTTCAACTCTCTCTCTCTCTCTCTCTCTCTCTCTCTCTCTCTCGCTCTCTCTCCCTCTCTCTCTCTCTCTCTCTCTCCTTCTTTCTCGGCCCGCAACACTCCAATAGCATTATTCTCATTCAAATAGTCGCAGCGTGAACAAAAGCGCACGTTTGTGGCCTCAAGTGAACCACATCCAAAGCTAAAACATGAAGATGTGGCCGCAGCCTGAAAGAATGATTGACAATCATTTTTAAAAACAATTCTACTTTCATCTGACCAAAACCCCTGTGTGTTTTTTTCCCTAAGGACTGAATAGCTTTCTCTTTCTTCCAGGCTGCGCTTTAGGCTATGCTGCGCTACCAGTGCGCTTTTTTATGGTGAGCGCTTTTTTGTGTGTGTTTTAGTGCGGCAGAGATGGATTTTATTATCACAGCACCAACCTGTCAGCAATAACTTCAAAGCGGAGAAACAGCTTGAACGCCCATTTGGGTTTTTAGTCCGGGCATTAGGGAGCGAAAAGTGGCCTTATTGCTCATATAAAGTGATAAAAAGTAACGGTTTTACAATATGACTTATTTCCATGGAAATGATGGATGGAAAGAAGGGTTTGGTGGAAAAGTGGGCGGTGGGTTGGGGGGGGAAGGGGTGTTTTTTTTTTTTGCCCCACAGTTGAGGAGGGTTGCCAAGGAGATTTTGACAGGATTAGGCCCAAGTGCACGGGATCTTATTGCATTTCAATAGCAGGAGCACGTGAGAAAATGAAACAAGCGCATTAGTGAAAGAGGCTCTGAGCTGCTTCTCCAAGAGCAAACTTACACCCAGCTCAGCAAAACGAGACCGAGCTCACAGCTCATCACTAAAGGACAAGTATGAAGACACGAGGAGGAATCAGTTATTTGTTTCGAAAGTTTCACAGCAGGTGTTTAGATGGTGGTTCTGAACTCTCTCCCTCTCTCCTCCTCAGTGGAGAAGGTGTCTCCTCGTGGCCATTCTGTTGCCCCTATTGAAGCCTGGCACTGGGGCGTGTGCATATGTGGGACGCGCTCTTTATTCTCCCAGAGAATGCTGCTCAATTTATTTCATATCGACCAATGCAATCTCGAATTAAAATGCAATTTTGCGTTTTTGGCCCAGCATTAATCCGCGGGTATTAACGCGATTACCTCGCGCAAAAGATCTTTGAGTCAGAAAGTCTGATAGAAGTTTTCACATGGTAATCCTCGGAATAATCCCTTCCCCTGGCAGCTCCGGGGCCAGCAGGCCTTTTTTCCCCTTGCAGGACGCAGGCAGGCCAGAATGGGGGCCATTACTTTTCAATGATAATTAATTCCTTACTCCAGTGCCTCAATTGTGGAGAGATGGCACTCCCCACATCAGAAAAGAACACCCCATCACCCCCCCCACCCACACACAAACACACACACACACACACACACACACACACACACACACACACACACATTGTGTTTGTAAATGTATTAAAAGGAGAAAACAAAAAGCTTTTGGCAACAGCAGAGATAGAAGGCAACAACTTTGTCACTAAGTTATTTATTCAAATTTGTTACACAATTATTACACATCTATCATACATTTATTAAACAATCAAAATGATTCATTAACGTTTACAATATTTTTGACCAATAATGTCTTTTTTGTTTGTTTGTTTGTTTCTATTTTGTTTACTTACTTGTTACTTTTCTTGCATTATTTGCTCACCTACACTGTAAAGAAATCTTAAAGCCTACATAATGTACTGTATGAACTATTACAAAGGAAAGGTGCTGCAAATGGTCTCTTGTGCGCTGCTGCAGAACAACTTTTAATTTTCTAAGAAAATGTGTGACAATTAAAGTTCTTTACCACTTTTAGGGTTCCTCCAAGAACCTTTACATTATGTGGTGGTTCTCTAAACTTTACAATGTTCTTCACTCTCACACATCATTTACAAAAATGGTTAATTCATTGAAAGGTTCTTTAAGAAACCAAAAGTGGTTCTTTTATGGCATCATGCAGAGAACCCTTTTTCCATCTTTATTTGTAAGAACATGTGGCAACTAAGCAGTTTTATTCAAGTCAAATATGAACTTCGATTGAAAAAAGCAAAATAACATTTTACTTCAGGGGAACGAAAGTGGCATTATTTATCAATCTAAATCTTAGAAACACTTCAAATCAACTCTTTACGCTGTGTAGTTGACTTAAGTGTAAATATTTCATTTGGAAAATGATTTTTTTTGACAGAGAAGCCTCTTGAAGTTACCTTTAAGATACTCCTAGCTGCATGTCTCAGTCAGCACCCACACTTCCTCTGCACTTCATATTTTAGTGTTTTTCCTACTCTAGCACACCTGACCCAAGTTATCAGCTAATGAACAAGCCTATTATCAGTTTCAAATACATATTTGAGAAGATACTGACAAAATTCTCAAATACTTAATTCAAATTTGTATATATATATATATATATATATATATATATATAATATATACAAAATAATATACATAAACACAAGTTCAGTTACTTTGACAATTGTGCTGATGTCATGTTCTAATGATGTGAGAATGATGCACACATTTGTATCTAGTCAGTTCAGTGTAATTTCCACTTCCAGCTATATTCAACTGTTCCTCTTAGTTAAATTATGCTGCAGATCTATTCTCTGCACAATGTTGAGCAAAACTCGGAGACAATACTTCTTTTATTTCCACTCAAAACGCCCATTAGATTAGATTACACATACTATGTATATGATAATCCACTTGGATAAGTAAAGTGAAAAGATCTTAAAAA